CAGCTTGCATTGCAGTTTGTGGTTAGTTCTGTCAACCCATGCAGTTCACATCGAATCGTCGGCTGAAAGGAATATTAATCACATGATTGACAATGATCCATGATTTCATATGTTTTGAACATGCTTTGAACCCCAAACCACCGAGTTGCGCCTCTGCCAGGTTTCCGGTTCCCCAGACCGCGTCGGAAAACACGCTCCTCTTCAGGACCCCACTTCCCTTCACGGGCGTCGCGTCGCGTCTGAAGCCGAGTCACACCATGGTCCCGGCCAAGCAGAAGCCTAGGGCCTCGCAGGTCTGGTAAAACCAGTCGCCGCTCTTGTCGAAGGGCAAGTAGCCTGACGTGGAAAAGCCTCCCTCAGTGAACTGAAGTGGCGTGGTGGTGGAGAGCCTGGAAGTGCCTCGAGCCATGGCAAGCCCGGATGAGATGATGGGCTCGATTCAATGAGAGTCAAACTACGTCTATTTTGATCTCTCGACATGGAACGCTCAGTTGATGCACACTTGAACTTCATACAGTAAGACCGAAGACAAGCATCGTGGGTGTAGCTACAAATGTAGCTAAAGGGCTGCGACACTTAAGAACATGACGACACCCATGGCACCGCCTTCAAAGGGAACGATCGCACAAAGGCGGAAGAAGAAGATGGCAAGATAGCCTCAGCCACGCCGCTCAGCGCGCTGCGCGTGCGGCGTCACGCTCGGTTGAGTGGTGGCGAGCGGCTGGACTGCCAGGTCAGCAAACCCAGACATGACACATGGGACTGCCATGTATATGCCGATCACTTGGGGTGGTGGTGCCGTGAGCATGTATGCCATACATGGAGTGTCTGGGAGACCTTGCAACGTCGTAGCTGGGATCTTCACATCATACTATAGCCTCTAGAAATGCATCCTAGGCAAATCCGTGTGTCTTCTCCACCGCGTCGATTCAATGTTTAAAGTTTACGGAATACCTTTAAAGCATGGCCACTGCCATCTGGTGATATTGTCACCACAGAAGCGGAATGGCGAAGAAGCAGGAGTTGTTGCCTTTTGTCAGTACCAGAGCAGAGCTGGATTTCACCCAAGCAGGTGTCTTCAAAGGACAATTTCTCGGCCAAGGCACACTCCATCATTCGGAGGGACACTCCCTTGCAACTCCTGCCTGCCTCAGGATCTCAAGAGCTTGCCAACATGTTCATGCGCGACAAGATTAGAAGCATCAGGCAGCTTTCACAGCTTCACAGCAGATAATCAGACACATTCGGACACGTCCTATATTGATGAGCCATCCATGCCATGTAGGGTCCGTTGAAAACACGCACGCACTTCAACCGAACCCACTGTCCAGCCCCAGTCGAGACAAACCGTACCCACCTCGATCTTCAGTGCGACCATGAGGAAGCTAAAGACACTCACCTGAATCAGTCGGACTCAGCCCGTCAAGGTTTGTTGGAGTATCAAAGGGTAAACTGACAGAGTGCCTCGAGTGTCCTTTCTGTGCTTTTTTGTTGGAGAACATCTAAGCATCTTCTTCAGTGCCACATGTTGGACGCGTCCAGTTTCGCACACTCAGCCATCAGCCGTCGAACTATACCACAGATTTCTGGGTGAAGTTTGTTGGGGAGTCTCACTCAATCTCTCCAAAACTCGTCTCCAAAATCTAGTAGAAGCTTCTTCCAACAGAGGTGTCTCTCGGACACGGAAGCACGAAAGTGAAACTCCCTGCAGCTTTCCTGTCTTTTGACGGATCTACTTTCCCCAGCCATCTGTCGCAAGAACGGGACTGTGTTTGGCTCCAAGAAGCCAAGGATGACAAGGTGAGGAGAAAGGAGAAGTCACCACTGGAGAAAAGCATGAAGACCTCGGCGTTCGAGGTCAGGTCAAACGAGGTCCACAAATGAGTGGCCCTTCTAAAACGGTTTGCAGGGTGAGTATAAATGTTGACCATTTTGAAAACGATTCAGATGTCTTGAGGGGGTATCTCCTCACTGAGGATTCCCACTTGATAGATTCGTTCAGAAAGGGCAAGACTCCCCAAGAAGGGGCGCATGATCTGTTGGTGGGGGTACAACCCAAAATGAACATGCAGAAAATGGAATGGCATGGTTTTGTGGGTGCGCCTCCAGTCTCATGGATCAATCGGATGAAACTCGAAAGCTCGTGAGCGAAGCAAAGGCCTAACTGAGATGAACCAAGCTTGAGACTCCCCGTAATCCGTAGTCCCTACAAAACCTTTGAAACATCTCACGCATGCTCCCGATCTTTCCAAGGCTCCCCCATGCTCACCCCAAGACAACACATATTATCAAGAGAACGGGCCAATGGGCGGCCAATGGCCAATGGCGTTCAAACGGAGTCCGACCCAAAACACGCGCCGGACCGACGTTGGGGTCGCGTCTTCCGGACCGACGGGTGTCGAGGTGTCGACTCGTTCGACTGCGGAGGGGCTGTAAAGGTCACCAGCAGGAAACATCCCCAGACCTTGAAGGCTTCCGTCTTCGCGTACCTGGCGAAGATCGGAAAAGACGGTCGTTCGGAAAAGGACCTGCACAGGTCACATAGAGATGAACAAAGAGGTCGCTTTGAAGGTCCTGAAAAACTGACAATTTATGTCAATTTGATGTCTAACTGACAGATTTGAATCCCCCTTGGAACTAGAGGGGTGAAGTTGTGTTTTCCATTGTGTAGATAAGAACACGAAAAGTGGGGCCCAAGGCGTCTACTGTAAAGAGCAGTCTACAGAATGCCTGGCACAAGTGACTACAAAATGTCAAACTTCCAAAGGGGGCAGGCTAGGGATCTGACAAAGAAACGACCTATGAGCGCTCTGAAAGGTACCAGTACCAATTGCATCCTGTAGAGAAGGGGCATAACAAACTGTTCAAACTCATTCTGTACAGAGAACCTATTTTCTACACAATGGGTCCCAGCGTGCCTAAAGACACCTTGAACCGGAATACCCGAAAGGGAACACAAAATCACATTGTTTGTAGGTCAGCATGCTGTACTATCAGTTTACCAGTTTACCCCTCTGCAAAATGCCAAACCTGGATCTTCCAACGACCAAAAACATATTGTATAGTTTTGGTTATTGACCCGGTTTTCCACGCAAACGGCCGGAAATCAGCGCAACCGACAAAACGACCGTAAATTAGCGCAAAACGCACGCAAAACACCAGCAAACGATACCAAAAACCCGCAAAAGCATGCAAAACACACAAAACGACCAAAACGACCATAAAACCAAAACAACCAGATTTTGTTTGGTAGTTGGAAGGTCCAGGAACTGCAATTCACCCAGAAAAGCGCAGCTTTTACAGCTATTCCAGGATGTCAACCCCGTCCCGTTCAGAGTCCATGTGCACGGGGATTGGAGACTCCGAAGAGTTTATTTTTCAACGAAAACAAACACTACTCATCACTACTCCCTATATATGAAGAACATATGTAACCCACCATCCTAATGAAGATATATGTGTTTCTTCTAATGAAGATATATGAAGTAACCCAGCATCCCTATACTCAATCCGTTCCGAACGTCTGAACGACTTGATGAAAAATCGCATCGTGAACACATTCACATTAGGCCGAGGCTCTTCATGAAGAGCATCTTCAACCTCTCAGGGTCCTTGAGGTCATCGAGGTTGAAATCAGCTTTCTCCATGGCCCTGTGAGCCCCTGCAGTCGCAGAGAGTCCACTCGGTTTGAGGTGTCTAGACACCTCTTTCGGTGGTCGCCCGGCGTGGAAGAGTTTTGTATTTTTTTTCACCGGGTAAGTTGAAGAAAAATGGCATGGGAGTCTCGGTCCCCTGAATGTACAGTCTTGAGCTGTGTTCTTTGGATGTCCCCTATCGATGGCTCGCCTCCTGGCCCACTGGTGCCATGACCCACGCACAAACGTCTGGCTTTTTGATGGTGAATAACACGTCTGAAGGCACCATTCCTGTCGCATCCCGAAAGACCCACCGGGCCTTGATCCGGTGGGCAGAAGCGTTGCTGCCTATAAAAATCTGGCTACGGCGGCAATTTCTTGGGCTCTCGTTGCGAGTCTCATGCCTTGGCGAACGGCCTCTGCCGCAAGTTCAGGGCAAAAACACGTGAACTTGAGAAGGCCTGCAGTTCAGAGTATGCATCATTTTTGTCAGGGCCATGATGATGGAAAATTAGAATCCCCTATCCAAAATGGTCCAGCTGGGCTTACCTACTCTGAACTTAATGCAATTTGTTCTTTGCAACGTCCATTATGTTGCCCCGTTATGCCCCTTTCAAGGTTTGCTTCAGCAACAGTTGTGCCTTCTCCGTTCCAGCATTTCAACCAACTGGTACCTGCGGTGAGAAAGCTCAAAACCCGCTTTCAAACGACTCCAGTCGTCAACCCCAATTCCTGCCGCAGCGACTCGTCTTTTGCAGTCGGACATCTTGAGTCCATTGAGCGGGGCTTGAGTCCATTGAGCGGCTGTTAGGTCTTTATTCACCTTACGTTGAACTGTGCCAACTTTCGAGCTACCTTTATTTATTTAGCCATACACTCCATGAGACTGCCATATATGCCTACATTGACCCCCCAAACCACCCCAATGCAGGCATATATGGCATACATGGAGCGTCTGGGTTAAATATTCCTCTTCTCAAGTATCTGGTCGCGACTGATATCGAGATATCGCATCGCTGGGATCTTCAAGTCGGGCATCACCCGTATACTAGCCGACTAAAGAAGCCAACAAGAACGTGTGACATCTGGTTTCTGACCAACACTGGCCGCAAACTGGAGGCAAAATGGAAGGTGTGAGCAGAACATAAGGGCCTGCAAAACAGTTTTGGTGCTAAACATATCCCAGACACTCCATGTATGCCATATATGCCTACATTGGGGTGGTTTGGGGGGTCAATGGGGCGGCATATATGGCAGTCCCATGGAGCGTCTGGGTATTGAAGTTAACATACCTTCCACCAAGTTCTGCAGTTTCTGATCCTCAGGGTCCACCCTGGTCGGACCATTCCTTGACGCCGCCGGCTCCTCGGCGCGCAGCTGCCGCAACGCGCGGGGCGCATCGATTCCCATGTGGTTTCCCGGCAAAGCCTCGGTTCGGGCAAAGCCGGCGCGAAGAAGACGTCGGATACGCCGGGACCTTCCTGATTCGATTATAGGTCCCCAGCTGGTAACCAGCGATTTTCGCTTGATGTGGTTCAGACTTTGGGGAGCCTTTGGGGGCTTTCCGAAAGGAGGATCTTTGGGTGTCATAAACTCCGTTCGACGAAGCTAACATTGAGTTGTGGGTCTGTGCTTGCATGCGTACGTGACTAGTTTGTCACGAAGGGATTTCACATGATTTGACTCATACGGATACCGCTCATGCTTCTCTAAATACTTTTCAAAGTATGTGACCAGGTGACCTTGTAGATTGAACCCTGCCGCAAAATCCAACATTTCAGGCGCAAAACGGAAACCATCGAAACCCCACCCGCGAAGAAACCTCGAACCAACAACCCATCAACATCTGTCCCAGTCCCTTCTCGGTCCCAGTCGCTGGTCGAAGGCTCCGGTCGGTCGCGATGTCAGTCTCGATTTCTTTTGTTTTCGTCTGCAATCTGCGACCGGTCGGTGGTGTGGCTTGTTGAGTTCCCCCGCTGGTGTGTGCAACCGGTCCAGGACCATTTGGGACCTTGTTGGGACGGGCTATTTTGAAGAATCGCATGTAAGGGTTGATGACATGCTAGGGTCGCACGGTGCAGATTGGATCCCGAGTTTCATCTAGGCTCGGATGTAGTGTGTCGCCTCCGCTTGCTTGGATATAGGGGTTGCATCTGGGACAGAAACACTAGACTAGACGTGACCGTCGCTGCTGTGCGAGTGTATATGATATCTGATTGAACAGAAAAAAGTCTGTTCTCCACAACTTCTTACAACGATAGTCCTATTGAACCTGAAACACCTCCACTCTTGCCACAAGTTCAGGCATGGTAGGGGTTTTTCCCCACTGGGAGCTTGCATGCTCAACCTGCAGTGTTGAGCCAGAATTCCAGGCGGTTGTGAAGGTGTCCAACTGCCAAGTATGAGACCCAGCTGGCTTTAGATGCAACCACCCCTGCACTGAGAACTTCTCAGCCTGGTTTAGGCTTGCTAAAGCCTCCCACCCCCAAGTCTTTGAGTAGGGAACCATGCCTAAATCCGCTTATGTTTTCCCAGTCGTGTTATCATTCTGTTTGACTGTTACGGATGTGCTTGCTTGGCTGCCAAAACGTGATATGCAATGCCATAAATCGAGCAGTCTCAGTCTCAGCACACCCTTATTGCCTCGAAAGCAACACCACACTTTGTCTGTTTGTCTTTTCGTTCCACAAAAGGTGTGTTTTTTTTGACGGGTGACGTCAACACATCGTCGCTTGCAGGAAGATGAATTGGACACAGTGACCCGTAAACACTCAGAAAATAGCGACCTCGGCGAAAAATGCGCCAGCGTTTCGTGCGCGAGCGAGCGTGTCGAAGGGCGCGCAGCCTGCACAGCACGCAAAAGCGCTGTTTTGGTGGACTGCTGGACGTTCCACAATGAATATATACACCATGAGGCGGACGCGACTCATTGAAATGCGCTGCAGATGAGGCGTCTTCGGAAATCCATGGGCATCTTCGGCATTGAGCAGATCCAGGCCTGAAGTGGGGGGGGGGGGGGCGCGAAATCAAGGAGTCAATGGTAACGAATTTGCCTAGAAACAGCTTGCATCAGCTTCCTGTCTTGAATTGACATATGGTGGTTGATCAATGGCCATTCTTCGCGGACAAAAATATCTTTCGCGGATCTTTCGCGGCCTCATCGTGAAGCATGGTCCTACAACCATGTCTAGCTAACGTGAGCCGGAACATGTCATAGTATCACAAAATAGGGACAGACATCTTGCAGCAACTCAGGGTCACTTGCAGCATCTGTGCGGCAATTGTGCCAAATAGAATCAGGCACAACTCAACCCAATCTTCGTGCCAGCTACCATTACAAGGTGATGCAGGTTGGGGAGTGTTGGGGGGCCTCAAGCTGGGAACCTGGACTTTAGCGGCACATTCGCGAAGCTTTCGCGGATCTTTCGCGAAATTTCCCTGGTGCTTCACAGCCCATCAGAGCAGCTGCAGGTCGTTGCCTCACTGCCAGGGCTGTGCCTACTCAGGTTGCTAGTCTGTGACAGTGGGGACAGGAATCGGAGAATCCTTTATGCACTGCCAGGGCAGGGCACGGAAATGTTGAGGCTTCAGTTCGTTTGTCTGTGACATATGGTTCACTTCCGCCCACCGGCTCTGCCGGAGGATTGCCTTGTATTTCTATTCTTTGTCAGTCCGGTAGAAAGGAAAACATGTGAAAGCGATGACCTTCAATAAATCTTTCGCGGATGGTTCTAACAACATCTGAAAGGCTCTGTTTTATGAAAAATCCTTACACGGGGTTTTCGATCAACTCCCATATGTCACATGTCTCAAACAGCAGTCTGCTCAATAGGGCATGCCAGCTGGCCACCCCCTGTACCACCACCTCTAAAATGATCTTTTGTGTTATTCTTAGGTGGTGTCACCCACCCAGCTGCCTGTTTATTTAATTTGGTAGTGTGATAGCTCTGAAATAATTATGCAAATATCTGATAGAAGATTGGAGGTAGGTGGTTAGGCAGACCACCTAGGTCCTAGGTGGTATTATATGGAAGGGCAACTCCTAGGAATATCCTCAGGCAAAAGCTACATCTGAGCAAATCAAGTGGTTTCAGATTTCAGACTCAACCACCTACTAAATATATAGTAGACCGACAAAATCCTGGGGTCAGTAGCGATGGCCTCCAACCTACTAGCGATGGCCTCCTGGCCTCCAACCTAGAAGCAAATTCATGCAGATTCCGTGTGAAAATTACTTTTGATGTGGATGACCCTCTTGTCCACCTCTGACGGAATTATCAATTTACCCCTAAACATTCAACATGTAATGAGCCACTGACATGCTTACAGCAAGATTATTTGGAACCCATTCCTCGAAATAATTTCTATATAACTATTTTGCTCTGTATACAGTCCTCAAGCCTTGCATGTGAGCGATATTATTTTGACCACCTGCATACATGCTAGCCAAATTCTTTCATGAGATTTCAAACACTGACCCCACCCCCAAAATAATTACACTGGGCAGCGGCTATTCGGCTATTCTGCTCATCAAGGTGATTGCTAGCAAACCCACCAGGTGGCATGCTATACGAACCGTGAGCCTGGACGCTTACACGCAGGTTTGGCTTGTTCCCGTCATCATGGCTCAATTCCAAAGGTCCTGTAATCTGTGGCTGTTTGGCGTGTATTTGGACCATCAAAAGGACACTTTGACCGTGTTCCTGATATCCAAACTGTCTGGATGATTCACTGTAAAATCACGCATCATAGTAAATGACGGAAATAGTTAAATATGTATGATCAAAGCAAGGCTTGCTGGCCGGCCTCTTAGGTGACCCGCGGCTTCTTCGCCACGTTTTGCAATCGCTCCAAGAGCTGCTTCTGGAGGCGCAAGTACCGTGATAAAGCCTGGGCATAGGCCTCCTGACGTTTCGTCGCAACGGACGTTGACCGACTGTGATGAAGTGGGAGCAACAGGACGGTGTCTTTGAGGTGATGATACATGTGCGTCTGAAGCATGCAGAATGAGACATGTGATTGGACTTGATCTGGGAGGGCTGCACCCTCACAATGAGGAGACTGCAGCTTGCCGCAGTGATGCTGATCCAATCGGAAGAGTCTCTGCCACTCCCTGTCCTTGGCACCGGGAGCTGGTTCGGCCGCCAACTTGTAGTCAATCTTGCCAGCCACCACATCTGCAAAGGCTACAAATCCTTGGCTTCTACTCACTCCAATCACAAGAACAATATCCCCGGACCATGATTCCGAGAAGAAAGCGCATTCAGTGTTCTATCTGGCTCCCACGTGCTTCCCATCTTTGCTATGACACGAGTATATATCCATAAACAAGATTCCATCAAGTCATATCTGCTTCAGTATCACAAAACCAGTCAGAACGAGTCCTACCATATCCTACCATCCATCGTGCCATCTCTTCCCCTCCCACCTTTTCCCCACTACCACCGGACCCCTTCACCACTTGCTATCACCGGCTCCACCTTTCTGTGCGCAGCGAAAGCCATGCGCCGCGCGCAGCGCAGCGCCCAGCGAGGCAGAGTCCGACTGCTCCAGAGTGAAGACCTTGTCGAGTCCAACGCGTCCGCGCGGACGCCATTTGGCGCTTCGCTTCCAGTCCAACCAGGACTTCCGGGGGTCGAAGACATGCAAACACAACCCTGGGAAACCAGTCCCAGCCATTTCCTGTGTGAAGGATTTCAATTGCCAGAACATCCGGAACAACCATTTGTTGCTGTTGGACGTGTCGGTTTGGTGAGGGAGGCAGCCTGTGACGGCGGGTGGGCACCGAAGGCTGAGAACATCCTGTTTCATGTGTTGAGGGGAAGGGATGGGGCAATAATTATATGGTAATATGAAAACATGTTTTTGTTGAAACCAATCCACACCAAACCACCAAAAGAATCAAACATCCACCATGTCAAAAGAAAACGATTGCTTGCAGTGAAAACACCGGAAACAGAATGAAACAACTCAAAAACACTGCTTTCAGGAAACTGCGTATATAACTACTGCATATTCAAGTTGACTCTGCGTCCGCTGACCGGGTCTACCGGAAGGTGGAGGGTGGCGGAGGGGCGAAGCAGGAATCGAAAGACCAAACAGGATCAACCATCCAGCACAGGAACACACAAAGAGGCTCTGTTAAAAATACATAAAAATACAACACGTATTCCTATCAACAGATCCAAATGTATCAAACAGTGTATCAAACAGTGTATCAAACCAATCTCTATACGCTCTAGATCGACTCTTTGGAGCGTCAATCCAAGTAGCAGGCACATCGAAGACATCCGAAAGCACCTCGGCACGCTCCGTCGAGTTCTCGACTCGACCGAACGGCCGAGTTCGAGCGGACGAAGGGTTTGGCCATCCACCGGATGACGAGGTCATTGGCCACAAGGGATGCTAAAGGATGTATATATATATTATATATATACAAAACCCAACACAATCCAATCAGGTCTTGGTCTATTGGATGATGAATGATTACTGTAAGTATGTTTAACATATTTTCAACACATCATAAAGAATTGTCAACTTGACCGCCATGGGTGGAAATGGGATAGAACCAACATATCACTGACCTGACAAAGAGCCTGAGTATGAACTGAACTTGTGTCTTGTTGTAACTGACAGCAACATCCAACCACCAAAGCACTGCATGGCACGAGCTCACGTAAAGGCCAAAACCAGGAAGCCTTGCCCTCCTTGAGGCGTTGTAAGCCTATGTCTCCTAGGCATGTTTCCTGCCACACCCCTGCCATCCGTTTCTTGAAAGCTTGGGCACTTGGAGGATGCCTTTGTTGGAGGAGGCCCCGCCAGTGGCGATGATCCGCTTCACCTCCTCCATTCCTCATTTTTCACGAACGAACGATATGAACGGAGGTGGCCGAGAAAAATGATTCAGTGTCCGGAGGCCACAAAGATTTACTTGTGAAGAAAGAAAGGGGTAAAATTAGACAGGCATTGGATTGTGCCATTGCAAGCCGCTTTTTGCATAGATCAGGCCTTAGGATGTCTTGGGTCACTGCCGTCTTCGGAAAGATCTATATAATACATTCTTGGAAGGGAATCATCAGCTATCAGACCCATCTTTCAAACGCCATTTAGTCGTTCCACAAAAGTCCCTTTCACCTGTGCCCCAACTGTCAACTAAGTTACAAACCCAAACTTAACTTACTGCAACCCATTTCCGTTTCGGGGTGTCCATCAAAGATCTCGAGTTGTCATGGCCTACACCGGTGGCAGTGGGAACCAAAACCAAGCTAAGAACCTTCGCGACCTTCGCTGCCAATTTTCGGCCAGGACTCCAATCCCTTGTGCGAAGCCCCTCATGGCCAGGAACTTGCTCTCCTCAGCTGCAAATGATTCATTGTGGTTATCCCTTCGAATTCTCCAAGACTCCCTTTCAACTTCCAAAGAATCGGCGCGTCATCCCCGATCAAACTCCCCTGCATCCCCAGAGTCAGCCGAAAATGACTTCTGCATCCACTATAGATGACTGCAGCCCAGCGACAACCACTGCCCGTACTTCAGTGGAGCTCGGAAAGCTGTCCACTTCCTCCAGAGTCATCGTGGGTGGACTGACCGTGCCACGGTCCATGCCACGGTGCGTGCAATATCTGGAGGCATCGATAGACAGTGAGGATGTTTCAAGGCCACGTATCGATCAGTTAGATTCAGTCAGCATAGCATACTCAACAACATGTCAGCTCCTGGTCATTTCCATCGAAGCGGAAAATGCCGAACCTGTGCAGCAGATCTCAATGAATGAAACCACTGCCAAGGGAATGGATGCGCACACACATACATACACACATCTTCACAATATCTAGATCCTTGCTGCATTTCGTTGTTGGTGTGGCCCTCTGACTGCCAAGAGAGGGAACTTTTGCCATCTTTTGCGGTATGATTACTGCAAACAACACATGCTGTCTTGCTGTAGGACCGTTTCATACTACCTTCAACCTCAGCCTGATGCCTGCGCAGCTGCTTTGCAACTCTGCTTGCAACTGGCGCCCGGACTGCTCGCCGGTGGTCGGGGTGATCTCTGGGCTATGAAAGTAGAAACCTCAATATGGGTGATGCAATGCTTGGCCTTGGAACGTGGATGAACATGGACTTGGATGTGGTATGGAAGAACTACGTGATGGATGTTGGATCCAGTGATCCCAAGTGAGTCGAATTCACCCCCCCAAGACGACGTTGGAGACATGACAATGGCACCAGGCACCGCGACATCCGGTGACGGCACCAGTCCGGAGGATCCCCTCCCCTCGTTCAATGCCCAGTCACCAATAGCACCGCCGTTGCCCGGTGCTGTCTCAGCCTCAAGAATTGGGGCGATGCCGTGCATAGTCAAGTGCTAACTAAACCTTGCAGCATCAGCATGTGACGTCGCATGTCATCTAACGGTCTATGGTTCCTGACCCGTAGCTTACAGCAAGTTGGATTCACTTGGATATACTTCTGATCTGGTCCATGGACATCGCACACCGCTCTCCGATCCACATCGAACCTTCAGAAGCAACAACTGTTCGGCCAGGGAACTAACATTTGTTCCCATCGATCCCACTGTCCGTCGCAATGCTCCTTTCGGACCTGCTCCCGGCTCAGCGAGCCGTTCTTGAAGACCAGCATTCCTCGGTACCGAGATGGGTTTCCAAGATCCAAAAGCATGGTCATTGTACCGGGAGATCTCTGGTATCTCAACAAATGGTCTTGACACGTCTTGACTCCACATCGAAGGATATAAAACCGGCCACTATGTATCATTTTGACCGTTCACCTTTCCAAAAATCTTCATTTGCTTCCCCAAATGAAGCAGAAACACCAAGAAAACAAACCTGCCCAGTCGTTCCCGGCCCTCACTCCCCTACCTTTTTCATCCTGTTTCGAACCGACTCAAATGCGACTATTGATCGATTTTTCCAAGCCTCCCATGTAAGAGGATGGATCCACCGGGTTCCGCAACACCATGCCATCCTCCCCAGGCGAAGCCTTCGACATCACCGCAAACCTGGCAGCGCCGCATATGCGGCTGAATGATGCTGAAATGGATTTTCATGGGCTGTCGGGCTTCAACTGGGTCGGTGAGTTGGTTGTGTTTGACAGATTATCTGCAAAAAGGCCCCCCTTCAGAATCCAAGTCAGGGGATCAAGATGGAAATCGCCACACTGTTCTCGGCTTTTGTTTGGTGGCGCCATTCACCTGCTGAAAGCATCTTGATTTGGGATGACGGCGCAAACAGTAAACTTTACCTGGGTCCAACATTGACGCCCGAGGTTTGCAAATCGAAATGATACCCAAGAGATTGCACTTTGATGTTCATCATTCCAAGGTGAGGACCACTCCAGTGATGCGCCCAGTTACATGGTGTCCGAAGTGCCCAAGGAGATGGCCACATCTCCAGGCACTTGGAGTCCCAAGCCCGCCAGGGAGCAGGGATTGTCCCCACTCCATGCCACCACCAGGCCTCGCTGCCAGTGAACTCATGCATGAGTGAACGCGAGCGAGTGAACGCGGGCGAGGTGCGGCCGAGGTGCAGGACGTTGCGAAGCCATAGCGGCTGGCAAAGTAGGGGGACACCTCGACAACGATGAAGTGATGTTAGTCTGACCTGATGGGTTTGGTTTTACCCATGTTTGCAGGACATGTTTTTGTTTTTTTAATGTTTTTAGTGGCCCTTCTTTTCATACGCATTGCCTGTGCACTCCACGTGGTTCCATTCAATGTAGGTCCAATGATGCTTTCTTCATTCAACGCTGGTCCAATGTGGAACAGGTTGTGCTCAACGGAGGTTTTGTGCCAAATCACAACCACTGAAACTACGTACATACCAGTCCATCACCGATACAGTTTAAACTAATTACAGTTCCCATTCCGCATGTCAACGGTCGGCCCTCTTTTTCGGCCATGGACGCCCGCTGAGTTCCACCGTCCAACGAAGAAAAACATGGGTAGGTCGACCCTCCTTCGCCGGAAAAAGCCGAGGGTCAGCGCCGAGCGCTTGATGTCCCACACAAAGTCCGGGGCCCAATCGTCGCTGCAGACCTACAGGGAAAATCAAAAGGTGCGATTTCGGTCGTGTGTCGTGTGTGAGAGATGTTCATAGATGCTACAGGCAGGCTAGCGTGAGGCAAAGACCAGCTGGAAGGTGAATTCCCGCATGTGCGCATCTGATGGCGAAGGCTCACCAGAACCAATTGGCAAGGCCATTGTTCGTTCGAAGATCGTGTGACGGTGTGTCGTCTGTGTGTGTGTTAAACCCTGTTTCTCAGGGCTGTTTATGTGCAGGGGGCGGATGGCCAACAAAGAGGCCACTGGTGAGGGCTGTAAACGTACCTGCGCAAACACACCGACTCCAATGGTTTTCCCTCCGCGGTTTTGTTGTTTTCATGGTGGTTCTCACGCTATTCCCCTAAACCTCCCCCCCGCAGAGTTGCTGCAGTTGCGCTGTCGCGAGGGAGTTTGAACACTTTTGCCAACATTTCAAGTACTGTTGCTGACTCAACCGCCTCGCGCTTCCCTCATTCCATTCCTTGTGGACTATGGCACTGGATGAACCTGTGACTTAGTGTGTTTCGCTGTGCTTTCACACTTGGGTGCGCAGTGTGATCCTTTCGCGAGGCACCGAAGCCTTCGTGTATCCCAAATTGGTTCAGCGTCTTGAGTTCGTGGATTATGGTTTGGTTTCCAACTGAACCTTATGCCGCCGGGCTCACGCACTAAACGCCGCCGGGCTTACGGAGAATGAACCCCCACCCCCACCCCCTCCCCTCTTTCCTTCTTGCGGTTTCTTTGTTTGTTGGGTGTTTCTTCAGGATTGTTAGGTCGTTCTTGATGCTCGTTTCCCTGCCCCTCGTTTTTCGCCTTACTTCTAGCCCTAATGAGGGTAACAGAAGGAAATGGTACTCAACACACTTGTGTGTTGGTGCCTTTCCTTCTGTTGTCCCTTTTCTAGTCTACTCTGCCCGGGCGGTTTAAGACTAAAGTCCCGCTCC